CAAAGGAAAACATAGATACATGGAATGCCAACCACCAGCTAAGCATTATCCAAATTTTCAAATTTTTGAATATTCAAGATCCTCTTTTATCAAACCGGCCCTATAAATTTTAACTTGTATTTTGTAGGTACTAATTGTATTTTGTAGGAAAGAGGAACTCATGATTTAAACTCAGTAAGGTTAGCACCATTAACTTCTGGAATGGGTGAAGAAGCAGTGGCAGTGTGCCCCTCATTGAACCTTTTGTGCCTATGAAACTCTTGCAAAGAAGGCAACATCCTCCTATAAGACATCCTACCAGTCCTTGGAAAATTACAAGGAAAAAATCCATATAGGCGTGGTGCTTTATCATTGATCAACTAGGAACAAGAAGAATAATATTCGTTTTGCTTTCCTTATTTATATTTATAATTAAACTAACTTTCCATACAAAATAATAAGACAGATGAACTAAAATCATGACCCTATTTTGTTCTATGCTTGACAAAAAATCTTGTTGTTTATGCAGGGACCAATCTTAGGCCCCCGCTGAGCCTAACGAGTTATTAAGCATCTCTCATCCAACAGAGCATGTACCTAATGAGCATAGCCCATATTAACTTTATCAGAACTCAGAAGATCAATGTTTCTACATTGATACGTAATTTAACTTTAAACCCAACCATAAACAAGAAACACAACATTGCAGAAGTTCAATTCATCGCAAACGTTTCTGACAGTACTGACCAGTGCAATCAAACAACATCACAACATTACAAATATCTACAGGTAACAAAATAATGAAATAGTATGATAGTATTAATAAAACTTTTATCAATAAAGTCACAGATGTCCAAAAGCTATGCATATATGGATCAGAAAGTTAAGGTTCCTTGTCGTCATATCTATGGAAACACTTTACACAAAATAGTGATAAACACGCAAAAGGCTATATACTTATAGATAAGAAAAGGTATCCTACCTTTTCATCTTCGGCTGTGAGGATGTACTCTATATCATCCTGTAGAAGAAGGAATTCATCATTTTAGAACAATAGAAATCAAATAAATTGCTTCTGTTAAAGTAAAATATACTCGGCAAAGTCTACATACTAGAAAATAAAAGAAAGGTAAGAGATAAAGCAACCCTTACAGCAGCAATCATTGCAACCAATAATCACCTCCGTAAATCCACCAGAAAACACAGTACCTCTACCCTGACTGTGAATAGAACATTCTAAAAGAAGACATCTCAACATACAAAACAGTTCCTTCAAGAATAAAATTTTACAGACTTCAAATTTTACTGACTCTTACATAAATATAATTTAAACCATGAAATATTATTAATTGCTTAGAAATCATTAAGAACCCTTTTGCTTATTTTGTACATGGTAGTTCTATAGAAGACATCAAACAAAGATAACAAGAAATTACCAAGAACCTTTCCACTTTCTTTTGTAAATTGTAGATCCATGGAGAAGAGCAAAACATAATAGTGCTCTCAAAAGGCATGCTCAGACAACAGTGGCGAAGGAGACAGCATATTTGGCAAGATAATCAAATATGGCCAACCATTTGACTATCGCAACCACATGGCAGCCTAATTTCCTTAATGTAATATATTTCCGTATATTTACTGCAAAGCAAAAAAAAACTCATTGGCCCATGATTGTTTAGCTTCATTGGCAGCAAGTGGAAATTGGCCAACATTGACCGAGTTTGAAACCCAACCAAACACTCAAAAGAAAATAAAAAGAGTTTAAAAACCCACGAGATATCCTCCATACCGTGGACGTTGGCTCTAATATCTGATGAGAACTTTGACATTAGTGACACTAAGAATGTGACTTTTCTACACATACTTAAGGGAGCTAACCAAGAGGCTGATAACCCTGCCAACAAAGGGGTTCTTCAAGAATCACTCTATGTTCACGCAATTCCAATGTTGGAATCCTCACATGTTGTCTTTACATCTCTTGACTTTTGTTTTATGTTTTTGATTCTTTGTAATTTCATTTTACTAATAAACTTTTTGGCTAATAAAATTTATATATATATATAAGAAAAAGCTAAGCTCAGCCCACCAGCTGTTGGAACAGTATAAGCAACGGCCTAGATTGAATATGGGCCGATTTGACGGTCACGACCTCATTTCGTAATATAATTTAATATTTTTCTACACATCTAAATCATATAAAATTTTAGGCAGACATTCTTCTCATCAAGGCACACCTAATAAAACTATATAAAAATTAATTTGTAAAAATTAATTTTACAAAAATGCCCCTGAATTGTTTTAAGGGTATTTTGGTCTATTATTTTTTGTGAATTATTTTTTAAATATTTTTATTAGATTCACCTATTTTTAGATAATAGAGGCTCCAAATTTCAAGTGATTGGATTTTTAGAAAAAGAAAAAAAACTAAAATTCAAATACGAAATGCAATTGTGATCGTCAAATCGTTCCAAATTCAATCTGGGCCATTCCATCAGCTGTGGGCTGACCTTAGCTTTTTCCATATATATATATATATATATATATAACAAACGTCTTGTAAGAGGCAGGTCACCCCCACACCCCCTATGGAAGGGAGATGGATGAGAGAGTCCAAGCATATTAAAATACACAAACCATATATGTTATATTTGTCTTATAAGCATTATGTCAACAATACGGATTCCTAGAGAATATAGAACTTCAATATGCATTTGCCGTTACTGTTTAACATGAGACTAACATGGAGTCTCCCACTGAGAATATTTACCTCACCTACCAAGACACTGATAGCTGAAAAACTCAGGAATTGGTACGCATGGAATAGAAAAGATTCCACCCCGCCCAAATAAAGAACCATTACAAATAATGAAAAAACTGATAGATTTAGTAGAAACACGATAAAATAGACCAAATTTAATACCTGAATATGCGGTTTGACAACATCCTAATATTGAAGCTTTCAAATCGGAAAACGGAAAACATCATAACAAAACTTGCACAACATTTAGGGCACCAACAAATAGCGAAAAAAGCTCCTGAATTTTATTTTATTTTTTCAGTTTAAAACCATATATGGCGGCCGCTCTGTTATCCACTAACTAACCAGTAAACCGTAGACAGACAAAAGAAATGGGTGAATATATACGGCATGAGATGCCTGCATATATTCCTCTCTACCAACTCACCAACCCTCAAACCATCTGTCAAACAATCAGGTGTTATTTACGATTATTTGGCAGTCCCCAATAGCACAGGCTTCTAAGACTTTACCCACGTAATTAGCCCAAATTACATCTCCTAGATATTCACACCTAGTGTAAAGACAAAAATCATTTAATACTTAAGAAAACCAATTTCACAAGTAAATATCAGGTTACCGCATACTATGTATAACTGGCACATATATAACTAAATGCATGAAACAGATGCAGGTAACACTCACCAATTCATCACCAAAATCAAGATGCCCAGATTCTTCATCCAAGGCACTGCCATTTTGCAAAATGCATACTTCACCGTTACTTTCTTTCACTTTTACAGGAGTAAAAACCACATGATGTTCATCACTTTGGTGTTGTTTTTCTGGTAAAGATGCCCTACTAACACTTGCAAGATTTGCAGCAGGGACTTTTCCATCACATGTTTCTATCTCTTTTCCATCAGATTGGAGAACTCCTTTTCCTTCCGTAGCCATATCTGCTATAATTGAATTTTCAAAAGGTTTACACATGAAATATTTGTTTCCTTCATCTACAGAAACTGGAATTACTAGTTCACTAGAGAAATCAGAACTAGCTCTCTCTTTTCTGTTTTTATTATTAATTTCCTTCATGACAGTTCCACTTGTACTATTGATAAGACCTTTTTCTTCCAACACAGGCTCAATTGCAGCATCGTTACTGCTCTCTGAAATTTTAACCCCAATAGCTGAGAATGATTCCACCAATTACAGTTAGTATGATATAGACAGTAAAAAGTTGATACCATTTATAACACCTTGTAAACAAATCAAGCATGGAGAACAGGAAATTACCCTGATCACCCATGTAACGCTTGAGTAGCTCTTCTAGAGGCATATCAACCTCATTTTGCAAAGCTTCCAGTTCCTCCCTCCGTTCTTCCTCAGTTATGAGAGCCTCATCATCTTCCATAGTTTGCTCATCATCCTCCTGCAGGACCAACAGCACAGCAAACAGGAAATGTTCTTCATATGCAAAGACACCAAAAAGATGCAGTGATGCACAAAGATAATGTGCATGAAATTTTGAACATAAGAGAGGTACAAGGCAATTAAAGTTTTGCATGTTGGTAAGATAATGAATCTTACAGCATCACAAATCCAAGAAGAGAGCATGACTTTATGAGATTAGCAAAATAGAGATCTGGAATGAGACCATTAGCCTGTTAATAAATTAATCAGACATGATATAAGTTTCATGTCATGATATAAGTTTCATGTGTCAGGGCTGTAAGAAGCCATGATTAAATGTGATTTCTCCTATGAACACTTCCACTAGTCTATTTGACATTGCCCAATCCTGACAAATATTCATAGTGGCATTCACCACCCATTTCATAGAAGTATTAGCCAACGCACAGGCACACCACAGATCTTATTTGAGAAACCAATTCAAGTTCATAGCATTAAATAAGAATCACAAAGAAGAAAGCTATAACATCCATTCTATTCCTTTAATATCAGAGGAGATAAACCGATAAAATGTATGTAGAGCTGAGGGGAAGAAAACACAGGTAAAAAATAAAATTCAGAAAACCCACCGATTCCTCTTCAGAGTGCATATCAAAATCTTCATCATGTTCCACATTATCTGAGTACGAACCTATAAACAGGATAAAATTTCAAAAGGGAAATCTCAACACTTCTTACAAAGATAAAGAGTAAGGAAATTAGACGCAGCCTGTGTATGATAAATGGTCCACAGGAAGGGCATCCACCCCCTGTTATCAATGAGAAATGGTGCAATTTAAACATTGTACCACATACAGGCTGTGAATTTTACACTTTTTCCCAAAGAACACTACATCTATATAATTACCAGGGTGTTCTGGACTTCCAATAAAACCCCCTTCATCCCCTTTTTCACTTTGATCAGCTGGCTGCTCCTGTCCTGATTCTAATGCTAATGGCTGCTTCACGCATGGGATCCCTTGCTTGGAAGGGAATGGCATATCTATAAGGTTTTCTGCCAGCATCGTAGAGTACCTGAAATAAATAACAGATTAAGAAAGTGATCTTTTTCTAATCATGCATTCATCCATGATAAAAGTTGTACAAAGCAAACTTATGAACCAGTACACTCCACCCAAAAGAAACTGAATGTTTTGAAAGTTGAAACATAGATAATATCACAACCTTTCAGTCTGATCCAGAAGAAAATCAAGCTGTTTATCAAGAGCTTTCTTCTTTCTCTCTTCCAGCTCTAGCTGATGTTTGTATAAAACCTGAAATAGCATTTGGGTAAAGGATATACCAGTCCAATGAACATAATCTGTAGAGGCACTAACAATACCAATTTAACATACATTATGAATGAAGAAAGAACATATTTAGAGTACCAGTTTCTCTATTTTCATCCAAAATTTCTTCACATCCTTGGATATTCCAAGAGAAATTTTTCGCAATCGCAACTCTTCTTCCTAAATTTGCAAACCAAAAGTATAGTAAGCTGGTGCAACATGATCAATAAATGTTAAAGTTCATTATATGTAAATCAAATTACAGGAAATATTAATTAGACTACATAATCCCAGTGGTCTATATGCCATCATATGGATATTTTGAGTTTCATGGAATGGAAAAAGAACAAAATTCATACCTTCACTTTCCTTTCTCCTAATGTGGCATGCTCTAACAAACTCTTACTAGCTCTTATAGCCACCCGCTTTGCCTGAGCCAGCTTCCATTTTTTCTCTGACTCAAAGTCCTGCCAAGTGAAGGAAAACCAAATAAATATAATAGAACACGCATCAGACCTCTTGTCACAACACCATTTTCCAATTTTTCTCTAATCCTCTTGGAGAATCCCAAAGAGTGATCCGAAAGAAGAAATAATAAATGACATTTCAAGTTAGAACAAACAAGAATTTCTGACCAAGATATACTACCAGACCTTCGATAACCAAACCATTTCTTCTAAGACATGATCCCAATGTGTTTTTGGACGACGAGGCTCTTTAGGCACTTCAAGAACCTGTGCAAGCACAGAAGAAAAATAAAGAACAAGCTTATCAATATCACAAACACCAAAAACTCTGAAATTCCACAGGCAAAGAATGTATGTGACCATCAAGACTGCATTCACCAGGGGAAGAATAAATTTTCATGTATCATCAAGATGTGAAAATCTTTGTTATACGAGTAGATAACCACAACCATCATAGCCAGTAAGTTGGTTTGACAATAGAAAGGAACAGACAACCAAGAATCTAAAACTCTAATTATTTCTACCCCTCTTTGGAAGTAAAAAGTGCAACAAAGTGCATGCAGCAGAGCAGTCCAGCAGCAAAAATCATGGGTGCTCCACACTCTCTCAGCAGCCTTAGGACAATGGAATGGACTAGGAAGAATGCAGGGTTATGGATTTCTGGTTCAGACCAAAATTATGTATTTGAAATTGTGAATGCAAGAATTTTTGTGGATCAGATGAGTCACATTGCAGATCTAAATTTTAAATTTTCTAAATTCCCTATTGTATGTAAGTAGATCAACATTTATAGTGCCAGAGCTCCACATAATTATGTATCCTGTTAACTCTGGTGCACATCCTTGTCTCTTCCAATATGGGTGTAGCATATAACAGTTATGAAAAAGAAGTGAACGAATAAATCATCATAAATTTTTTAAACCATGTGAGAATAGACAGTCAAAGATTCAGAACAATTTAAGCAAAATAATCACACGTTATCATGATATCTATAAATACAGTTCCAGCTCATAAGCAGGAAGAATGAGAAGCGAACAGTTACAATCAATGTACTAACTAAATCCTATTATGCAAGGATATTTGAGAATTGGTGCCACATCTATGTTAAGATGCCTTAAAAAAATGAGGAATGTATTTGCTGTGCTCAAGGTCGTATCCAAGAACCATCTAAAATAACACAGATGATTTGGAAGCAAACAGAAAGCTCAAAATGTCCCCATAAACATGACCTGCTAAGAGCTATGCAGTAAGAGTCACTTGGAGGATAAATAACAGCATCAAAAACTAACCTTTTGGCGTCTGGCTCTTGATTCATGATCAAGCTTAGATCTGGGGCCTTTCGAGGTCATGGTTTCCTCGCAAATCTTTATATCATGGCATATGGGCTGTAATATCAAACAGACGAAGAATGTTGATTACATGGAATTAGAGAAATACCACAATAAAATGTGAACTACTAGAGGGCTCCTCCGTGTCTAATCACAGTACCCATCCCAACAAAGATAAGAAAGATAAATGTTCTATACCTTGACATGCTGTGAAGAATATTCAACCTATCCAGCCTATCCAAAAGCCTGATTCCGGAAAAGTACCTAGTCAAAAGTGCAACAATCGGGATGATTATTTATGACGAAGTAAACTTCAAATACACCATGCCAAGACGGTAAATTAAGATTTCGAAAACTAGACATGGAACAGAGAATATCCACTTCGAGAAAATACGTCAGAAAATAATATATTCGCAGCATGAAAGAGAAAATTATATTTACAGCGGAATAAATAATGAGCTTATCTAGCATGCAGGTTGTGAGCAAATGAAGAATGGCAGAAAATAATCTCTTCAAGAAGACAGCTCATTAATTTACTCTAGATTCCCAGGAGCATTATAATTGGAACACTGTGGCGGAAATCAGAAACATCAAAAATCGTAGAAGATCAGAGAAATGAAAAACCAATTGTAAAAACAGAAATGTTGTTATGGAAAGAGAAACCAAAATCTTTTTTACTTACAAAATATAAATAATTCAACCCCGTCCCACAGGAATAAATTTCCAAAGCACAAATATAGAATAAAAAAAGTTAAAGGGAAATTATCATATAAGCCGCTATTAAAATTTCATTTTTCATAAAAGCCCTCTAAGTTTTTCAATTTCAGGCAGCATATGAATTTTTGTTAAACATGGAACCTGCTTCGCATAACCTCTCCTTTTTTCCAATTTTCTTTTTCCAAACTAAGCCCCTTTTGAATGTGCCAAGTCTATGTGTGTGCAAGCGAGAACCCAAAGAACAAAAAAAAGGGTCCTGCAAAAGCTTTTGCTTGCTCTCTCTAACATTTACCCTCCCTCTCTCTCGCACCTCTGTCAAGGTTTTGTCTTAACTTTCGACCAGAGTCGTCCATACTTAGAGCTCTCTACTTGCCACCACTTCTTTGGAACCAGAAGCCAAGAGAGCACCCAGGCGAAAGTAGAGAGATTGAGAAGAGACAGAAAGAGAGTCCCAGGAACAAAGGAGGATCCTTACCCCATTACATTGAAACAGAGATTTGCAGAAAAACGAATCAAAGTGAGAAAACAGAAGAGACAGAGAGAGAGGAAGAGAGAAAAACTGATATTACCTCGCCATTGTTTGAAGCTCCGGGTTAACAGAAGTGGAAAGGAATGGCGGTGGAGCTTAAAAAGAGGCAAAACCTCTTCGCAATATGAACGAGGATGGCGATGAAAAACAATAAACTGAGATTAATGCAGAGAGAGAAGGGGAGAAGAAGATTTTTTATTTGATTCCCGATTTCGCACCTCGATAGCATGCACACAGTTGGGTTTGCAATTGGACGAATATGCCCTTGAAATTTACTGTAAATGTACGGATTAAGCTCCCGTGAGTCGAGATATTGTTTTGCTCGGGGATTAACAACTCGGTTTGCAAAACCGAGTTTGACAAAAGGGTGGGGTTTGTACAAAGACTGGGGCCCTAAACAATGAAAGTAAGGCTCACCTTCAAATGGTACCCGTATATATGGGTTCAAACAGTGGTGAAATATGTTGGGTTCAAACAGTGGTGAAATACGTTGTTTGAGCATGAGAAATATTTATGGTAGCTTGAAATTTTATTTTTGTTTTTTTGTTATAAAATTTTAAATTAAAAATAATGTATCGAGCAGCTCTATGAATAATTGAAAATCTTAAAAATTAAGTGTCTAGATAATACACTACAAAATGCAGTATTTTTAAGACTTCAATTTTATTTTCTCTCATGTTCATACATCTTGAGGGTGAGATAATCGAATTGAGGGTTTTTAATATCAAAACAACATTTTCTAAAGAATTTTTGAAGTGGCCTCTCACCCTTATATAAAGTTTTTTGTTAACAAAAACACACAAACAAGCTTAATAAAATATCTCAAAAGATTTCACAAACAAGCTTGAATAAGATATCCCAAACGATTTCATACTTCTCCCAAACGATTTCATACTCCCGCAGAAGTGTATCATCAATTTACTCCCTCCAATATAACTCATGCTAGGAGTAACTTTTAAATTGTAGAGTTGGGGAATATAATCTCTGCAACTGTAGCAATAAAAAAAAAAAATCTAAAATCAACTCTATATGTAATAAAAATAATAATGCTTCAAGATTGAATAGAGACCATCCAATTTTTAAAGAGCTAGATATAAGAGTCACAAATTCAAAATCCAATTTTTTTTTTTCCAAAATAGTCGTCTAGTAGCCTCTTACTTGGTTACCAAGATTTTAGACTAAGATAATCTTTCTAAATAGGTGTTTTGGGTGAGGGAGCAGACACAAGCATATGCTATCA